GCGCCGGCGCCGCCATTGCTGTCCTGTCAGTGAGGCGCTGGGAGCCGGCGGCCGGTAGAGCGGAGGTAAGGGGGGGGGGGGGGGGGGGGCCGGGGGGGTGGGAAGGGGTGGCCCGGGGTGCGGGGGGGGTTGTGCCGGGAGACCGGGGGGATTGTGCCGGGAGACCGGGGGGATTGTCCCGGGGGAAGGGGTGCACCGGAGGAGCCGGGGGGGTGTCCCGGGGGACCTGGAGCCTGCACCGGGGGACCGGAGAGGTTGTCCCGGGGTGTTGGAGGGGGTGTCCCGGGGGACCGGGAGCCTACACCGGGGGACCGGGGGGGTTGTCCCGGTCGAAGGGGTGTCCCGGTGGACCGGGAGCTGCTCCGGGGGACTAGAAGGGCTATAACGAGGAACCGGAGAGTCTGCCCCGGTAGACCGGGAGCCTGCACCGGGGGATCGAGGGGTTGTCCCGGGCGAAGGGGTGCCCCGGGGGACCGGAGGGTTTGTCCCGGGGGGGTCAGAAGGGTTGTCCCGGGGGACCGGGAGCTGCTCCGGGGGACTGGGCGGCTTGTCCCGGGCGAAGGGGTGCCCCGGGGGACCGGAGGGGTTGTCCCGGGGAGGTCAGAAGGGTTGTCCCGGGGGACCGGGAGCTGCTCCGGGGGATTAGAAGGGCTATAACGGGGGACCGGAGGGGCTGCTCCGGGCGGAGAGGCTGCCCCGGTGGACCGGGAACTTGTACCGGGGGAGCGGAGGGGTTGTCCCGGGAGAAGGGGTGCCCCGGAGGAGCCGGGGGGCTGCCCCGGGGGACCGGAGGGGTTGCGCCGAGGAACCGGGGGGCTGCTCCGGGGCACCGGGAGCCTTCACCGGGAGAGCGAGGGGCTGCACCGGGAGCCGCTCCGAGGGGCTATTCCGGGCGACGGGCTGCACCGGGGGACCGGAGGAGTGCTCCGGACGGGGGGAGCCGGGGGGGCTGCCCTGGGGGGTCAGAGGGGCTGTAACGAGGAACCGGAGGGGCTGCCCCGGGGGACCGGGAGCCTTCACCGGGAGAGCGGAGGGGTTGCACCGAGGAACCGGGGG